TTAAAAAAAAAAAACAGGTGTGGGAAATTAACCTTTAATTGCCATTTTAACCCCTTAATGACACATGACACGTGGGACATGTCATAATTCCCTTTTATTCCAGAAGTTGTGTGTCACCTTTTATGTACATACTCAAACATTCAAGGGTATGTAAACTTTTGATCAGGGTCATTAAGTAAATTCAGTTATCATTATAATTTAAAAAGGAACCAAACAACTATGTGATAATAAATGGCTTCATTTGATCACTATCACTATCAATATGCATTTTTTGCATGACCAGTCACATTTTCGAAATCAATGCTAAAATTTTACAATTTCTGACAGGGTATGCAAACTTTTGAGAACAACTGTATATATTCACAACTCTCTTAATTAAATACTCTTTAGTTAATTTAACATTAGCATTATTTAATTTGTCTCCCACGTTAAAACCAGTGTCGAACTCACCGATATTGGGGTACTGTGACGTAGTGATGGGCTTAACACAATATGGCTATATGGTGTAACTCAATCCCCAATTTGTTTGCTGAGATAGGTGATTTTAAGTAGCCATGTAAAACTCTATTTTGTAACTGCGCTGTTCCACAATCCGTATTTTGTATAAATGTTGGTCTCTACAGCAGCATCATTTCTGAGACATGCATGTTCCGAGTGTGCCCCTAATTCCCTTTTATTATTATTTTTTTTATATATAAAAAATATATTATAATTATCTTATGCTTGAATTAAAAAGAGTATTTTGCATTATAGTTTCTGCTCTGAGCAACTGTTTATCTATCCTCCAAGGTTTTCTACTGATTAATGTAACATGTCCGTGAAAGAGCAAAGTTTTCAATGTTTAATTATTTTTTTTAATATGAAATTCTGGGTAGTATTTAATTAAAGGGAAGCTTATAACTATATGAAATAACTCTGCTGTGAATATTTAGCCTTTTTTGATAATGCTCTGCTGCAACTCCTATAATGCTTATCCATCCGGAAATCATGAACTGTTTATTTACAGTTTTTGATGTTTTGCTATAATAAATAAATTAACAACAAATCATATAAATATAGGATATTCAGCGACACTTTCAGTACAGAACTAATATATGCATTAAATCTCCCTTGTGCTCTTAGTGACAAGACGGGATGTCATATGAGACACAATTTATCAGTGCACCTATTAGATTAGCCCCTCTACCAACTAGGGTCCGATGCTATGTTGATAATTTTTGTAATTTTATTTATACTCTTCAAGTGCAAATACACTGAACAAAACTATAAACGCAACAATTTAGTTTTTGCCCCCATTTTTCATGAGCTAAACTCAAAGATCTAAGACTTTTTCTATGTACACAAAAGGCCTATTTCTCTCAAATATTGTTCACAAATCTGTCTAAATCTGTGTTAGTGAGCACTTCTCCTTTGCTGAGATAATCCATCCACCTCACAGGTGTGGCATATCAAGATGCTAATTAGACAGCACGATTATTGCAAAGGTGTGCCTTAGGCTGGCCACAATAAAAGGCCACTCTAAAATGTGCAGTTTTATCACACAGCTCAATGCTACAGATGTCGCAAGTTTTGAGGGAGCGTGCAATTGGCATCTGACTGCAGGAATGTCCACCAGAGCTGTTGCCCGTGAATTGAATGTTAATTTCTCTACCATAAGCCGTTTCCAAAGGTGTTTCGGAGAATTTGGCATCCAACCAGCCTCACAACCGCAGACCACGTGTAACCACACCAGCCCAGGACCTTCACATCCAGCATCTTCACCTCCAAGATCTTCTGAGACCAGCCATGCGGACATCTGCTGCAACAATCGGTTTGCATAACCAAAGAATTTCTGCACAAACTTTCAGAAACTGTCTCAGGGAAGCTCATCTGCATGCTCGTTGTCCTCATCAAGGTCTCGACCTGACTGCAGTTCGTCGTCATAACTGATTTGAGTGGGCAAATGCTCACATTCGATGGCGTCTGGCACTTTAGAGAGGTGTTCTCTTCACGGATGAATCCCGGTTTTCACTGTACAGGGCAGATGGCATACAGAGTGTATGGCGTCCTGTGGGTGATCGGTTTGCTGATGTCAAGGTTGTGGATCGAGTGGCCCATAGTGGCGGTGAGATTATGGTATGGCCAGGCGAATGTTATGGACAACGAACACAGGTGCATTTTATTGATGGCATTTTGAATGCACAGAGATACCGTAACGAGGTCCTGTTGCCCATTGTTGTGCCATTCATCCACAACCTTCACCTCATGTTGCAGCATGATAATGCATGGCCCCATGTTCCAAGGATCTGTACACAATTCCTGGAAGCTGAAAACATCCCAGTTCTTGCATGGCCAGCATACTCACCGGACATGTCACCCATTGAGCATGTTTGGGATGCTCTAGATCAGCGCATACGACAGGGTATTCCAGGTCCTGCCAATATCCAGAAACTTCGCACAGCCATTGAAGAGAAATGGACCAACATTCCACAGACCACAATCAATAACTTGATCAACTCTATGAGAAGGAGATGTGTTGCACTGCGTGAGGCAAATGGTGGTCACACCAGATACTGACTGGTTTTCTGACTCCCTCCAAACCTCACCCAATACAGTAAAACTGCACATTTTAGAGTGACCTTTTATTGTGGCCAGCCTAAGGCACACCTGTGCAATAATCATGCTGTCTAATCAGCATCTTGATATGCCACGCCTGTGAGGTGGATGGATTATCTCCACTAATATAGATTTAGACAGATTTGTGAACAATATTTGAAAGAAATAGGCCTTTTGTGTACATAGAAAAAGTCTTAGATCTTTGAGTTCAGCTCATGAAAAATGGGGGATTCAAAATTTACTGGTTTTATAAATGCTTGTTTTATGACATAAGTCAAAGGGTGGTTTGTAATGGTATTTATTAATTAATGACTTTACATCATAAAGAAAGCATATTTAGTGTAATGCTTTGGGGGCACCACTAGGGGCAGTGTGTAGGAAGACATGTGCTTCTGGCAGTGATATCACAGGCCAGCCTACTTACACTGAATAAAAACCAGATGTAGGAGAAACTCTGTCTCTTTGCCTGTACCTGACTGAACCTCAGATGTAGTACCAGCTCTGACTTAACCCCAGCCAAAGGGCTGGGTCCTTGTAAGTAAAATGAATCCATTGTAACATTTAGCAATTGTAATAGCCTTTTGTATATCATTTAGCAACCTTTTGTAAGTCATATGTTGTAGTTTTGTATTGTATAATTATTGTAGTAAATTTACATTCTGCTAGCATCTGTTTATTTATTATAGTTATATAAAATATACATTTAATATTACAACGTTTTGTGTATTTTCTACCCACATATTCGACCATAATACCATGAACTATAAAAATATTGTTGTTTGTATTGCTTAATTATTATGTATTAAGAGATTAATATTCATATTTAAGTCACGACCACAACAGGGGGCAAAAACAAAAGTATTGTGTTTATAATTTTGTTCGGTGTAGGTATTAAATCAGATGATTTGATATAAAAACATGCCAAATATAACTCACGCCATTGAAATATGGGGTTTCTTTTTCTTTTTTTTTCTTTGTTAGTGAGAAATTTTAATTATAGCATTAAAGTATAAGCATAAATGTGGTGAACCAATTGAAGAGAATTCATGGCACTCAGCTGCCCAAACATTCAGTCCTATATCCAATACCTTTGTACTGCTGATGTGAGGTCGATGGTATGTTGGCACAGCAGAAGAGGACAGAGAGAGGACCACTGGATGCCATGATTTACTGGTCGATGTCTTATGGAGGTATTGGTGGTGCAGAGAGGTTGCCCTGTATCTAGATTTTATAGACTGCTCCTACTGGATTCAGCATGCTTTCTGGTTAAAACAATAAGGTATGTTTTATTTTGCATTGAACAACTCCTTCATCATAGTCTGGTATTCGAACACGAAGTCAGCAGACTTTCCAGAGCAGCCTGTTTGCAGTCACATCAGTTGATCAAACAGACGTAGACAACTTATCGGGAAAAGGCTCAAATTGATGCACTTTGTGACCATGGGCAGATTATCCAAATGAACTGCTGATAAAGAAGCAGTCACTTATTTTATTTAAATTCTTAGATAAGAGAAAACACATCGTACATCAAAAATATGCATAACAAAGCAGGATCAGCAAATGTTCCAGTTTCAAAAGCATAATATTTAATATTATTATAAATGTATCAAAGAAATTGAAGAAAACTTGAACAAAAAAAAACACCATAGAACTTTCTACGAATCATTATGACTGCAACCAGTCCGAAGTGAAAATTATAAAAACTCAAATCCATAAATATCAAGAAAGGAGAATATTAAGTATGACTCAAGACTTCAGGTGGGCCATGCAGCAGAAATGTCTGCCATTTTCCCTCCCTCGAGGAAAGCATTGAAGAACCTTGTATTATAAGCATATGCAATAAAGTGTGTTTTCTCTGCATTCTTTTTTTGCACTCTTTTATTACAGGCCTACCCTTACATCGCTTCCGGCACACCACTATCGACATGTTCCATCAATAATGTTACTGCACGGCTTATATGTTACTGACCACAAGTTTAAAGGCCAAAGACCTGTATTTGTAGGAGGAGTTAGCGGCACTATAAAAGCCAACATACACATCTTCCCTTTGCCGTGCCTTTCAGTTCATCCCACCCACCTCCTTTAAATTCAATTTACGGGGGGAGGGCCCTCTTTTATTACAGGCCACTGCTTACATCGGTTTTGGGCACACAACTACCGACCTGTTACATCCATTATGTTATTACACAGCTTTTATGTTACCGACCACAAATAAATAAATATATAGATAGATAGATAGAATACGAAAAAAACTATCTGCACTCGTGGTCTTTCCACTGAGATTTTCACTTTGTGCCAAAATAGCACCTGTTTTTGCGTTGCTAAATCTTCACTCTCGCTGAGAACATGGGTACATGTTTAAATATATCTCAGAGATTATTGATGATACAACAAATCCCCTTTTATTTCAAATGTTTGGTATTTAGTACATTTCAATAAAATGTCTACCAATATGATCTAACTACTATTGCAAGCTTGTTATTAGAAGCATCCACAAGTCCACTAAAATATACCTTGGCTATGTGTACCGCACGATGGACCACTTTTCTTTTTATATATGCTCATTTTGACTGTGAATCCAGGATCATTTTCGTGCTGAATATTGCTGTACTTAAATGGTTACTCTAACCCTCTGCCCACCTGAATTTACGGTAAAACCTGAAAAATAAAGTTTTTACTCACCTGAAATCCAGCGATGCTCCCAGGGACTGATCTTCCGCGCCTCCTCCGAGGTCACAGGGGTCATGCGCAACATGGGTTGGAGGGGATATCAATCTTCAGATTATCATGTCACTCTGCATTGTGAAGTGGGCTGCCAATGTCACGTGTGCAGGGGGTGCAGCTAGCCCGCATCTCACAATTACCAAAATCTTAGTATGTGCAGTATTTCAAGCTGAAACACTATACATACTGACTTCTACCACTATGACCATGTCAAATCACTGAAGTAGTCATGGTGGTTGGAGTAACTCATTGCATTTAGACTCATTACTTTTAATGCATGCCCAGAGTGGCTCTTAGTGGCCTACTCTGTATCTTACTTGCCTGCTACACACACCCACACAGTTACGCACACAGCTACCCACACTATACACAAACACACACTGTTACACACACAATAACTGCTATCCACAGTATTACACACACCCTCATTACTAATACACAGACTGTTATTCATACCCAGACTGTTAGACACACTACTACCCACACCAACACTGATACAAACACACCCTGCTGCACAGACCTAACCAGGCCTATACACTCACACACAATCTACACACACAATCTACACACAGACACTTTATATGTGTTTGTTTTTGTGAATGCAGCCTCTTTTTTATCATTCTCACAGACCACCTGGTCACCCAGGAATTGTACCTGGTGTGTAGCCCTCCACTTCACCCAAAAGAGCCATAATTACAGTTACTTTACCTCCCAGCCGTGCCAGCCAACAGCACTCTTCCAAGCAGTCCTTGAGGGCATCATACAGCCACAGAAAGGCATCTGACCGAGGGCAACCTTCAATCGCTCTGGAACACGGATCAGACGTGGTCTGCTAAAACATTAACCAGAGTTTTCTCGGCCCTACCACCTAGCAGGACGCTTTTTGGAGGGATGGTAGGGGAGAGGGGATGTGGCATCGAACGATACCCTGGACTTGGAGTAATTACAAGGATACATGGAAAGCACTGCTGTTTTAGGTGACCAGGAATTTCCACCCAGTGCCATGGAACTCAGCGTCGAAACGGAGGCTAACCGTGACCTGCTAAAATTTTGACTTCCACCTAAATAGGATACCCACATCCGAGCCGGGCGCATTTTGGACAAAGTGGGCGCTCTGACACCAGCTTCCTGAGGACACTGGTTCTGTGGGAATCTGGGCACGGGAACCACAGTTATTACCTGTTTTGTTAAATTGGTGCCAAGGTGTCTGGCTACTAATTAAATTATCTGTTTAGGCATAGACACCAAGTCATTGGGGATGTCGCACATTCCTTTGTTCTCCCTGTGGACTTCCTGTTGAGACCCCAGGTATAAAACTGTGACCAATTCTACCTCCTGCATTAAGACTAACCTAATGCATGGGGGCACCAGGCTCTATCTGGAAGCTATAATCACTGAAGCCACACTGGGAGCTATAAAGGGAATCGTTGGCAGCAATATCCTAGTGGTCTACCGTAATCATATGTAAACAATCATGTTTTTTCATCATATTTTTTAAGGGGTTGTTTTTGTGCTTAGAGGTGCCCTTGATATAAATCTAGTGCTGGCTGATAGGCTGTATGTGGTGTTCTGTTTGTGAAGAGTCCGTTGAGTAGACCCAAGAGACCCCTGACCTAAGGGAATTATGAGCTCTGAGCCTTAATTGCTGGTGGTTCTTCAGGTCTAGCAGTAAGTCACAGATAATGAAATTCAGAACTCTATAGCATCACATATGGTATAGAAGCAACTCAGACAGCTGTTTAGAGTGCCAGCAAGCCCTTGTCTCTAGATTAGATTTGATTCCTGGATTGTTTGTTTATGGAACATTTAATATGGAAGTTTTGTATAACTATGTCATAGCACAAAGTAAATATCATGGATAACACAGACACTCAATACATTTGTTTATGGTTAAATTGCAGAACAGCCCCCACCCCTTGTACTACAACGAGAGATTTAACGCATTGTTATTGACGAACAGTGGAAATTCAAAGATGAAAATCTCCATTGCGTCATTGTTAATGGAATGCCAATTTTATGAAGATTAGCATGCATCTAAAGGGGAAAACTGAGTAGGGAATTTAAATTTAAGAGTTCTTTTTAAAAAAATTTAATAGGCATGTGCATGGGGAAAATTTTCGGTTCGGTTCGGCATTCAAAAATTCAGGATTTTCGCAATTCGGGACTTCGGCAGTTCGGCACTTCAACACTTCGGAAATTCGGCAACTTCGGCATTTCGGCACTTTGGAACTTCTATTGCAGCTGTTTAGTAGATAACTGCCTAATTCCTACGGTATCAGGGAGTTATCTACCAAAAGGCTGAAAGACCTAAATTGGTCTTTCAGCCAAATTTACTAATACTAAGTAAAAATTACTTGGTATTAGTAAATTTTGCCCCTACTCGCTATACCGCGAGTAGGGGCATGTCTAGTAAACAGTGAGCAGCCTGTGGCTGCTCACTGTTTAAAAAATAAATAACATTTGAATAAGTTTGAATAAGGAGGTGCCCTAAATTTGAATAAGGAGGTGGACCTAATGTCCTCCCCATGGCCCCCACCCCTGAGCGGCGGGTGGGGGCCCTAAATACTAATAAGGGGGGGACCTAATGTCCTCCCCCTGGCCCCCACCCCTGAGCGGCGGGTGGGTGCCCTAAATTGGAATAAGGGGGGACCTAATGTCCTCCCCCTGGCCCCCACCCCTGAGCGGTGGGTGGGGGCCCTAAATACTATTAAGGGGGGGAACTAATGTCCTCCCCCTGGCCCCCACCCCTGAGCGGCGGGTGGGGGCCCTAAATTGGAATAAGGAGGGGGACCTAATGTCCTTCCCCTGGCCGCCACCCCTAAGCGGTGGGTGGAGGCCCTAAATACTAATAAGGGGGGGACCTAATGTCCTCCCACTGGCCAGGGCCAGACTGGGAATTAAAAGCAGGCCTGGAAAAAAAAATATTTACCAGCCCCATAATGCGTCGCGCCAGCATAGTGTGCAGATAAAGAGTTAGAACAGATAACTTAAAATTAAAAAGAACTTAAATGTAAAAAGCGCACTCATAGGCTTCAAAATAAACAAAAGTGCAGATTTATTTTAAGCAGACGTGCCTTTGCATGTAATCAATGTTTCAGTCCAACTACCTTGACATATTAAGGAAAGCTTGTTAATGGGACTGAAATGGTGAATGTATGTAGGGCACAACTGTAAAAAAATTTATTTTGAAGTCCTGTGGATGTGCTCTTCACTTTAAATATGTTATTGAGCTGGAGTATGCACCTAACAACTGGGCCAATATCTGCTCATTACATATGGTACATATTAATGACATTTCTCTGTTTATTATGCATATATAAATGTACATTAATATGTGTAAATATAATAGGCATAATTTTATATATATATATATATATATATATGTTTATATATTTATATATAATATATATATATATATATATATATATATATATATATATGCTGTTTATATATAAATATATAAACATATATATATATATATATATTATATATATATATATATATATATAAAACTAATACACACATTAATATACATGTCATTTACCAATGGCAGATCCAGAGCCTGAGCCTGGGAGGGGCACTTGTAGATTATTTAAAGAAATATTCCATGCACAATAACCACTACTCCTCTGTGTAGTGGTTATGGTGCCAGGAGTGTCGGGACCCCCTCCCAGAGTAAGTAGTCAAAGCGTTTAAGAACAGTTTGACAACTTACCTGGAGTCTGCTGGGATATGGGGCTGTAGTAGTGTATAGGAGCAGTGGTGCAATGTGTGAGGGGTGCAATGTGTGTGAAAGGTTCAGTGTGTGGGTGTGGGGGGGCAGTGTGTGAATGTGTATGGTGTGTGTGGGAGCAATGTGTGAATGTGTATGGTGTGTGTGTGTGGGGGCAGTGTGTGTATGGGGCTAGAGTTCACTCTCACTACTGCGCGCACCAGGAAGTCTTGAGAGTGAACTCTAGCCCATAGCTCCGGGGCTAGAGTTCACCTTCGTGAGAGCCGGAGCGTTGCCCGGGGTCCTCTCTTCCTCCCCTGCCGGCTGCCTGCACGGTGCCTGCGGAACGGGGAGGGAGATCGGCCAGCAGAGGAAAGCCTCGTGGGGGGGGAATTGCCCCGTTGCCCCCCCATCCACCAGTGATATATACTGCCCCTATGTGTGTCTCTTTATCTCCAGCCCCTCTGTGTGCCTTTTTGTCTCCCCAGTCACTCTGTATGTTTCTTTCTCCCCCTCACTGCTCCTCTGTGTCAATGTCTCCCCTTTCCTTCCCAGTCTCTCTCTTCCCCCTCTGCCTCTTTCTCCCCCATTCCCTGTGTCTCTCCCTCCTCCACATCTCTCTTCCTCCCCCCTTTCCCTGTGTCTCTTCCTCCCCTCTTTCCCTGTGTCTCTCCCTCCTCCACATCTCTCTTCCTCCCCCCTTTCCCTGTGTCTCTCCCTCCTCCACATCTCTCTTCCTCCCCCCTTTCCCTGTGTCTCTCCCATCTCCACATCTCTTT